AATCCGAGTTTTTAGCTGAAATGCAAGTTTTTTTTTTTTTTTTCTTTTTCCTGTTCTTTTTCTTTCTTTCTTTCTTTTTTTTTTTTGGCAAGACAGATTTTAGTTTGAAAAAAAAGCAAACTTTTCTTGGGTGAAGGATTAAAAAGTTTGAATCTTGTTTTGAGGTTAGTAAAGGTTGCGGATTCAAGAAATTCAAACCATAAGCAAAATTTGAGGCCATTCAAAGAATTTTCAGGTATTAATCTTGTTTGAATCATGAAAAAAAAATGAAACAAAAAGAGAAAATTGGTTTATGAAATTCATGATCATTGATGAAATATTTTCATGCTATTTACGTGTTTGCAGAAATTTCTAAGAGAGATATGAGTCTTCTTTACAGTTCTAGTTTCAAGTACCCCGAAGGAGAATTAAGGAAGAATCAAGATTTCATGGAAACTTATCACCATTATCAACACCAAAACGATCAGCATAACTCAGGCCTGCTACGTTATCGATCTGCACCGAGCTCATTTCTTGAGAATCTTGTCAATGGCAACAACACTGGTTTTGCTGGTGCAGGTGCTAATGGCAATCTTAATTCTGAAGATTATCGATATGTTCGATCTTCAAGTCCTGAGATGGAAAGCGTATTTGAAAAATACATGACACCATGTAATGGTTCAGGTGGTTCTGCCTCTCATGATCTGCAAGAATTTGGAGGCAAAGCTTTGAAACTACAAGAGGCCCATTCCATTTCCCAACCAAATGAATACGCTAGTGGCGCGCAGATGATTTACCAAAGCTTGCCTGTGCACAATTTGGCAAATGATAATACAACAATGGATGGTTCATTTGGTGTTATTAATTCCATGGGATCAAATAGTTCAATGCAACCCAAAATTGGTACTACAAATGAATCCAATCTTGTGAGGCAGAACAGTTCTCCAGCTGGGTTTCTATCCAATCTGGGTGTTGAAAATGGTATGATTCTGATATCTTCTTTTCTTATTTTTGTGGTCTGGGTTCTGTTTGTTTCTTGGGAAAGTTTTCAGTTTGTGGTTGGTATAGGAAAAAATTCTGTCAATCTTGTTTCCTGTTTCCTGTTTCCAATATTCCAGAAAACCCCATCTTAATGCGGTGAAGGTTTCCTGTTTGGAAGAAAGGAATCTCAACATCTAAGGGAAGTAGAAAATCAACTATTTGTAAAATCTTATTTCCATGCCTATTTTAACACACTACAAAAATCTTCAATTGGGTTTAACAAATTAAGGCAATTCTTTTGAGTTTCAATGCCAATGTCCAATGTGATTGCCGTTCATGAGTACATGAATTCGATCCCACCTTCCTATCACAATTCAAAGATTACTAGCTGATTTCTTGGTGATGATTAATAGGATTTACTGTTATGAGAGACTTTGGAAACTTCAGAGCTTGCAATACTACGAATGGTGAAGCAACTCCATCAACTGGTAGGCTAAATGACCATATGAGTTTAGCATCCGGATCAAGGTTTATTATGCCTCAGATTGGTGAAATAGAGAATGAAAGTATGGGAGCAAGCAGCCCTGAGCATCGAAGCTCGATCATTGTTAATGGTAGCGACCGACTTTACATGTCTAACTTTGCTAATGATTCCTGGAATGGAGCTTCTTTCAGTACTTCAAAACGAACATCAAGTT